TTTTTTTGGTTTTTCTCCGGTACCGGGAACCGAACTCACGACCTTGCACTTGCCAGGCAGGCGCTTTTGCCGCTGAGCTAAATCCCCAGCCCCTAGAGTGTCTTAAAGACAGAGTAGCACCAAACTCACCATTAGGCTACTAGAAGAGTTTAACATCATTTTTAAAAAGATGGGGTACAGGGTACAGGCCACATGCCTGTAATCCCAGCTACTCAGGAGACTGAGGCAAGAGGATTGCAAGTTCAAGGCTAGCCAGGCTATTTAGCAAGACCATGTACTAAAATAAAAAATAAAAAGGGGTGGGGATGTAGCTCAGTAGTAGAGCACCCCAGGGTTCAACTCCTAGTACTGAAAAAAAAAGAAAAAAAAAAAAAAGAAAGGAATATGTTTGCTTTGGTACTTAAATTTTCCTATGTGAACTACCTAAAATTATCTCCTTTTCTCACTGTTTTTTTTTTTTGTCTTTTTGAGACAGGGTCTCGCTGTGCAGTTCAGGCTGGCCTTGAGCTCACTTTGTAGCCCAGGCTGGTCTCGAACTCGCAACAATCCTCCTGCCTGAGCCTCCCAAGGGCTGGGATTATAGGCTTGCGCCACCATGCCCGGCTTCTCAGCGGTTTATAGCTACTATAAGAGCAGGTTTAGGTGACAGTGCCATGTTACGTATTACTCTGAAATCTCAGTGGGTTAACACAGCAAAGGTTTTTTGCTTCCTTGTCCTTGGTGTCCTAAATGGATGGAGTAGGTTAGTGCTGGGCCCTGTTCCCCACTGTCCCCTAGGTCCCCAGGCTGAAGAGGCCCCATATCCCGCACCTTGCCAGTCAGCACCCCGGAAGCGGGTCCTGGAGAAGCCACAGCCATTTCCACCTGAGTCCCTTCCCAGCACACAGGCCCAAACGCCCAAGCACAGGGGGCTGGGAGTGTAGAGGAGCTCCCGGGACTTTTGGGGTGTTGTCTGTGCCACCTCAGGCTGCGGCCTGGGTGCTGCGGCCTGGGTGCTGTGGGCTGCGTGCACCTGGACGAGCAGTGCTGCGTGAGGAAGGTCGGGAGCCCGTGTGGGCTTGTTTGTTACATGAAGGTCGCAGGGCATGCAGGCTGACGTAGCCAGGCGTGCCCGGCAGCCCTGCGTCATGGTTTCTCCTGTCTTGAAGTTTCCTTAAAGAACGGTCCAAAGTGAACACGGTCCCTCTGAAGAGTAAGAAGGCCTCCAGTTTCCACGAGTTTGCCCGGAACACCAGCGACGCTTGGGACATCGGCGACGACGAGGAAGAGGACTTTTCCTCCTCTACTTTCCAAACTCTGAACTCAAAAGTTGCCTTGGCAACTGCAGCCCAAGTCCTGGAAAACCACAGCAAGCTTCGGGCAAAGCCGGAGCGGTCCCAGTCCACGACGTCCGAGGTCCCCGCCAGCTACAAGGTCATAAAGTCCAGCAGCGACGCCCAGCTCTCCAGGAACTCCAGTAAGTCCTCCGCCCCTCGCAGCCCCAGCACCCCCGCGGCACATTCGAAACCAAAGTGTTTCTCTTTAGGGTATCACTCAGCTCACCCTGGGATGACAAAAAGCAAGTTCAAGCCTGAGGTACGATGTCTGTGAGCGTGACTGGTCACAAGCTGTCCTGCCTTCCCTGTGACCTGGGCCTGTGCCTCCTGACCTCCCAGCATTGCTGCCGTCTCCTCCCCTTCCGGCCACCTCTCCTGGGTGGGGCCCGAACCTTTGCTGTTGGTCGGACTGCTCCACACGCTTTAGGCCGGGCAGACTTAGAATATTGACAGAGGCCCTTCGAGCTCTTAGTGGCTGCATTTCATAAGTGGGTGGTGTGGTTGATCGACCTCGTCAGCCCCTGGGGACAGTCACACACAGGAAGTGGTCTTTTTCCCCCTCCCCGCTTCCTCGGGGGAGCAGCATGTGCCGGAAGGCGCAGGTCGCAGTTCCCTGGCCATGCACATGCCAGTCAGCCGGGGTGGGTGGGCCAGGCCTGCCCTCTCTTTTGCAGAGATCTGGCCTCTGCGATGGCTGGAGTGGTGTGGATTTGTGGGAAGTGTGAGGACTTTCCGCGGAGTCTTTTAAGTTTCCTGTGCTCTGTGATGTTGCCCCGCGGGGCTCTGTCTAAGTGGGTTATCTCAGCTGGAGAGGGACGTGCCGTGGTCCTAGCGAAAGTTAAAACGGCTGCCTGCTCATGGATGAAAAGGAGGTGGAACATCAGAGCCGGGAGCGTGTCCTGGCCCGGTTCTAGGCGAATTTCTTGAGCGGCCTCAGACGAAGCCTGCGGTCCCAGCTCTGGCTGAGGGTTTCTGTAGGCGCTCTGCACTCACTGTCCCTCACCGGTTCCGGCGCCGGTTGAACCTTCAGCACCCGCCCAGGTGGACATGCTGTGTCTTTAGCCGGTAGCCACAGCTCCAGTTGTGGGAAGTGTCTCCACCCCGGGATTGGGTGTCTGCACCCCAGAGGTTCCCAGCATGAGGAGGTCTGCTTTGTGTAGCCAGGACCCCCTCGGGGTCCCCTGTGGCGGTCTCCACCATGCGTGCCGTGCATGTCCCCCAGCAGCTGGACTCAGAGGTCCGTCCCAGCTCCGCAGTGTGTGGCCGGCACTTTCTAGGCCCCACCGTTACTGCAGGCGGCCGGTGAGCCTGTGAGGCGGTTTTTGTACGCTTTCTAGTCGTGCTGGCTGGTTTGTCGTCACTGTTTTCCTTGTGAGCAGTGGTTTTTAAGGTCAAGCTATGTGGAACATGAAGTGACCGTGAAAGAACAGGCCCAGTTAAAAGCTGAATTTTCTCTGCAGAAATAAAGTAAACAAGGGTTTTGGAGTCAGACATATCGAAGGTGTCATCTCAGCTGTCGCTTAGCACTCCTTCAGTCCACAGCCTCCGCGTGTGTGGAGCAGGTTTAAGTTCCAACCAGAGTCATGAGGACCAAATGAGGGGTCCTTGGGCGAGGCAGGCGCTCGGTGGGTGTGGTTCTCTACCTGCCTCCGCCTGCTTAGCAGCGCCTAGAGCCACGCGCAGAGTTCAGGGAGAGCGTCTGGCCCGGTGACTTTCGTCCCTTAATGGCACAAATCAGGGCAGTTCCTTGTGGTGGGCGGTGTGAGGGAGCTCTCCTCCGGTGGCCCCAGGACAGGTTAGAGTTGTGCGGGCTGTGGGCCTCTCAGCCTGGGGCTTGTGGAGAGCAACCTGCTCTTCGGCCCCAGGGAGGTTCTCAGAAGTCACTGCAGTGTATCGGTCCTGGTGTCAGCGCCTGACCTGCCAAGGACAGGTTCGCCCTGTCCCTCCCGGGGGCCCTCAAATGGCGCACACAGGCAAGGGGGCTTTGCGGCAGGAGGCTGGGTCGGGACTGCGGCCGAGGTTTCTCCCAATCCCTGCTCGCCCTCCAGACTTCTCTTTCTCTTTCAAACGATCTCAGGTGACACATGCCTGAGGAACCCACTCCACAAACAGCAGTCGCTCCCTCTCCGACCCATCATCCCCCTGGTCGCCCGGATCTCGGACCAGAATGCTTCCGGAGCGCCCCCCATGACGGTGCGGGAGAAAACGCGCCTGGAAAAGTTCCGCCAGCTCCTCTCCAGCCACAGCACCGACTTAGGTGAGCCCAGCTCGGTGGGCGCTCCTGTGACTGGCCCGTCAGGGGCCTGGGCGCTAGCGCTCTTTATTCTCCCTTCTTTCACTCTTCTAGCCTTTCCCGATCGGGCGCCCGGGGCGGTGACGCGCAGGTATTAAGGCAGAGGATGTTGCTAGAGGTTAGGGACCAAATTAGATGAGACGTGTTTCTGGGGCCTGTAGACTATAGTGCAGCTCCTCCGGCTTCGGTCTCTCCTGGCGCGGGGTGATTCTTCCCGAATCCGCACCCCAGGCCCCTCACGCTCCTGTCCGAGCTGCCTGGGTGGCCCTGCAGGGCGTGGCTCGGGCTCCGATGCTGGAGGCTGCTGGGGGCTGTCCCTGGGGCTGGCGGTGGTGGCGGCCGTGGTGGCGGTGGTCTTACGTGAATGATAGGCTTGTGTTATTGGCCCCCGCAGGAGCCTCTAATCCCACCAGGCTGTCTTCTGTTTGCAGATGAACTGAGGAAGTGCAGCTGGCCGGGGGTGCCCAGGGAGGTCCGACCTGTGACCTGGAGACTCCTGTCGGTGAGTCCTGCCCACCGCCGCCCTCTCGCCTGGTGAGGGCTCTCACTCCACAGCCCGCCCTGTCCTGCTGTACATGACAGCTGGGCTGCAGGCGGCCTCTGCACACACACTCCCTCGCCGTTCACCCCAGCAGGGGCAGGAGCAGAGTGGGCTGGTGTTCCCGCTCCGCTGTCGTGGTCATGGCCCCGGCCTTCATAGCAGTGAGGAGGCAGAACAGTGAGATGGGGGCCCGCAGTCCCCGAGCATCACTCCTTGCTCACTGGGAAGAGCCAGGTGGCTGGAACCCACTTTGCAGCTGTGAGGACTGAGGAAGTGACCCCCTGGCTGTCACCGAGGACAGCGCCTGTGCCCACAGAGGCTGCAGTGGGGGCCCAGGCTCCCCCACTGGCTGTCTGTCCCCGTGTGGCGGAGCTGGGTGGTGCTGCTATTCGCACGGCCCTAGGGCGTCGCCTGGCAGCCTCTGCCTGCCGTGGTGCGCATTGAGTGAGGAGAGGGCCCTCTGCGTGGCAGACCCCAGGAGGGATCTGCCATGCTCTTGGCGGCTTTCCCTCTGCTCCTTTGGTGGTTCCCAAGCCGCTGCTCAGGCTGGAGTAAGGTTAAGGACTCCCCTGCCAGCGCCTGTCCGCCGCTGATGGCGGGCTTTCTGCAGGGCTACCTCCCAGCGAACACGGAGAGGCGGAAGCTGACCCTGCAGCGGAAGCGGGAGGAGTATTTCGGCTTCATCGAGCAGTATTACGACTCCCGGAATGAGGAGCATCACCAGGACACCTACAGACAGGTACAGTCCCCGCTGGCCCTCTGCTCGTCAGGTGCCTGGACGAGGGCTCTCCTGGCGGCGCCCCGGGTGAGGTTTAGCAGGTCCTCAGGCCGTGCGTCAAGCTTGTTTCCAGGACTCCTTCCCTGTGCCCCACCGGCGCCAGTCTCAGGCATTTTAGATGGGAAGGTTTGCACACTGGTCGGGGCGGTGCTGCTCAGACCTCACCAGCCGCCAGGACCGTGACAGCGCCCCCCACAGAGACTACGGGGAAACGCAGGTGCCACCGCTGCTCAGTGCTCCCGGCCGCGGGCGGCTTCCCGCGTGTGGGAGCAGAGGAGTCTAGGGCTGGGGGGTGCGGGGGGTGGGGGCAGCTGTCTCCAGCCAGCCCAAGCTGCAGTAGCCTCCGCTGCCACTGTTAGGGTGGCTGGGCTGGGCATTGTGAAGTCCCCAGAGCTGACCTGACTGCAGTGACTTCTGTCCCCGGGCCCTGCCCCACGTCTTGCCCCTCCTCGCTGTGAGAGCAGGCCCCGTGGGTCCCGTCCTGGCCCGGGCGTGGAGCTGCCAGGTTCCTCGTTCTTGGCAGCCTTGACGAGTAGGACTGGGAAGGAGGGGGGCACCCTCGAGTCGCACTGGTCAGGAATGCCGCCCGGAGAGGCCGAGACCCAGCGAGGTGGGGAGGCCCGCGGCAGAGGCCGTGAAGCGGCCCGTTACCGCACGTGGCCCCTCGCCGTGGAGAACTGTGCTGTGGAAATAGGCAGGGCGCCGGGCCCTCTTTGTTTCTTTCCGTGTCAGTTCTTTGTTAAAGATAAATTGCGCTCTAACTTCTACTCCTTTGATTCCCATTCCTTAAGTGAACAACTTGTCTAAAGAACACACCAGCATTTTGGTTTGGGATGTGGCCTTTGTTTTTCAGATTCACATTGACATTCCAAGGACGAACCCTCTCATTCCGCTGTTCCAGCAGCCGCTCGTACAGGAGGTGAGGAATTGCTTAGCCTTCTCTGCTGTTTCTCTCCTGTCACTGGTGGCCCGTGTTAAAGTGTCCTGGCCCAGGACACTTTCCATCATCCCTGTTTGATCTTTGGAACAGACCCACTGCCCAGCACACTAGGAGAGGCTATGGAACTTGTGTGGTGTATCGAAGCTACCCGGTAACACTGAAGAACCCACATCTTAGAATTCCTACTCCTGTTTTCTCTAATTTATCGAGCTGGAAGTATTTTTTTTTGAGTACCGGAAATTGAACTTAGGATCTTGCACTTGCCAGGCAGGTGCTGTGCCACTGAGCTATATCCCCAGCCCTGATTTTGTTTAAAAAAAAGAAAGAAAAAGAAAAAAACCAACTGTGGTAAAATATGCATAACTAGGCAAGCTGGTGCACACCTGTAATCCCAGCATTTGGGAGGCTGAGGCAGGAGGATCACCATGAGTTCAAGGCCAACTTGGGCTACCCAGTGAGTTTAAAGCTAGCCTGAACTAGATAGTGAGACCCTGTCTCAAAAAACAAACAAACAAAAAAGTGAAATCAGTAGTGGTATTTTGAAACCTGACCAACTAATGTAGTACATGGAAGGTCTCAGGTCTTGTCTTCCAACCTGAGCTGTTACTGCGGACTCCCCTTGATCAGGGGTTTGCTGTGCAGCACCCCAGCAGGCAGGACAGTGCTGAGTGTTGGCGCTTTTCCAAGTGAGCTTTCAGGCCTCCTCGTAACAGAGAGGGATGGTGGTAAAATGCTCAAAAACATTGCCACTTGGCTTTGAAGGGCACTCATACTTGGGTTTAATATCAATGTCCCTGCTAGCAGGATCCCTCCCGCTTTGCCAACATCATAAGGAAGATCTTGAGGGTGACACCATTATTTTACCTCTAAGATTCAGCTCCTAGGAGGATCCAGGAGCGCGGCCGGGATCCTTCTCTTCTTGCCGTTCGGTTGCCTGTGGCTCAGCCTGCTTGGTCCTCACGGGAAGCTGCCAGCGTTGGGCTGCTCAGCCCCTCCCCGTGCATGGGCAGAGTAACTTGTGAGGGGGCTTCTCCTAGCAGCGGGGCCTCGATCCAAACGTGGGAGGTCAACTTGATTCTTCCCGCGTTTTCCTCACTCACTGTGTCGGGAAGCAGGCTGTAGTCATCTTAAGCAGAGTAAAAATGGCAGCGAAGGGGCAGAGAACTAGCCGGATGTGGTGGCACACACCTGCAATCCCAGCATTCCTGGGGGCTGAAGCAGGAGGATTGCAATTTCCAGCCCGGACTGGGAAAATTAGCAGCTTAGTCAGACCCTATCTCAAATTTTTCAGAAATAAAAATCAATAAATGAAAAGGACTAAGGCCTTTGCCTTCACTGTGAAGGCAAACCTTCAGGGTTGTCCCGTCCACTCCTCCCTGCGGGGCAGGGTTCCCCGGGCTCCCCTAGTGAGGGGCACACGTCCCCCTGGTGGCCGACTTGCGCTGTGTCCCTGTTTGAGCAGCCAGTGTCCCTCTGTGCAGCCAGCGCCAGCCCCCGGGGGTCTGTGTGGTCACGAGGGGTGTTCAGCATGGACTGGAAGTCCTTAGAAGTCTTTTGCAAAGACTGCCCCGGAGGAGGGGTGGTGTGTTGTTTGTTTGTTTTTATGGTGCTGGGCTGGACACATGCTAGACACTTGCTCCGCCACGGAACCACACCCCAGCCCCCAGGGGCCTCTGAACGGGGTGTCCAGATGGACACCGGCTGCGAGGGGCAGAGAGGCAGCGGGGTGGGGGTCGCTGAGATGGCCAGAGCATGGCGGCTCTGGCTTGCACATTTGAAGGAAGGGGCAGAGGTCATTTAGCAACAAGAGGGAAGTGTGTGAGAGGGCTGGAACCCACACGCGAGGGGCTATGCTCCTCCGCCACCACAAAGCCAGTGGTGACCCCAGCGGGGCAGGAAGGCCTGGTCCTCACGGCCAGCAGAGGGTTTCTGGGCTCTCTGAGAGCTGGCTGCAGACCCGCTAGCTACGACAGGGGCTCACACACACCCTCCGCTGCGTGCATAGATCGCTGACATCTTTCCTGCACTAAATAACCCATGCTAAGTCCACATAGCCACTGGCATCGTCTGGGTCTCCCTGGGAGGCCCTAATCTGGCCCAGAGCTGAGTGTGTGCTGTGGGAGCCCCATAATCTCCTGTCCCGCCTACACATGCTGCCATCCCCTCTGCATCCCTCGGGTGGTTTCTCGGAGATAAGAGGCCGCCGGGCAGAGCTACCCTTCCCATCAGGCCCAGGGGCCATGGTGCCAAGACAAAGCTGGGCAGTGGGCATCCTTGAACTGAGAGACTATAGAGGAGGAATTCAGAGTCCTAATGAAAGCAAAGGGGATGCCAGGCGTGGGGGCACACGCCTATAATCCCAGCACTTGGGAGGCTGAGGCAGGAGGATCGCCATCAGTTTGAGGCCAGGCTGGGCCGTGAGTTCAAGGCCAGCCTGAATTATAGAGCAAGACCCCGTCTCAAAAGGAAAAAAAGCAGAGGGGAATACAGTTGAATGGGACAGGGCAGGACTGTGGTAAGGGACTATGAAGATCTGTTCTTTATCCCCAACCTAGAGCTCTGGATTCTAGTGACAAATGCACTTAACCCCGGAGGCTTTCCTTAGAGGCTGTGGTGGTGTCTGTCTCTCAAAGCCCCAGTTGTGTGAAGCTGTAGGATTCGGTTTCCCTGGGTCCCTGTACCCTGGAGATGTCTGGGCTGTATCCTGGGTCCGAAGGGACTTCCGATGATACCTAGTCCGCCACATGTTCCCGTCGGGCTGTGGGAGACTTGAATCTAGATTCCCTTCCTTCTCAGGCTGCTGCCGCTCTAAATCCTGCAATGACCAGAAAAGGTGTAGGGAAAGGTCCAGAGCGAGGCGCTTCGATGCGCTCCTCCTGGAAACAGCGGCAGCCGGCACGCAGGCGAGTGCAGGGCTGATTAGTGGCCCCGTAGCAAAACACTGACCAAATCACTGTGTCACAGTAACCAGACATTGAAAGATAAATGAGTGGCGCGAAGTACACAGAACAGCTGGCGTTGGGGACCCTTTGCATTTATATTTCTCCTTTGTTCATCGTATTTTAAAATTTCCCTAAAACTTCTACACCAGCCCGGGGGTAAACTGTGGAGTAGGTAAGTGGGGGAGGGCGTGTGTCCCCGTGACTTAACGCTTGTGTCTTCTTTCCTTCTTCTCTCTCATTTTCCTAGATCTTTGAAAGAATTCTGTTTATCTGGGCCATCCGCCACCCTGCCAGTGGGTACGTCCAGGGAATTAATGACCTGGTCACTCCGTTCTTTGTCGTCTTCCTCTCAGAATATGTGGGTAAGAAGCACGCGCACCAAGCCGAACAGCTATTGCTCTTCCTTCTCTGCCACCTGTTTGTCTGTCTTTCCCAAGAGTGCGGCAGTGGGTCTGTCTTGCTGGAAACAAGGCAGATCGCAGCTTTGGGATACACAGCAGTAGCAGCCTGGAGTTTTCTCTCTTGAGATGATCAGATCTCACCTAAAAAACCCGCCTTGTGAGAACGACCCAGGTGCTGTGTTTGTGTTCTGCCATAGACAGATGGCTTGATGGCTTGTTTGAAGTTATTTCAGGGTTATTTTGAACTTGTCTTGGACCCAAGCAAGGGTCCACTCAGGGTCACTGGCGGTGGAGGTTATGCCCCGGGCCTTTACCTTGGGAGCAAGATGCAGACTGTAGAGGAGGAGAGGCTGAGGCAGGGGGATCGCTGCGAGTTCAAGGCCAACCTGGATTACACAGCAAGACCCTGTCTCCAGAAAAACCATAAATAAAATGGAGGAGGAGAGGCCATAGTCCCAGAGGTGATGGGATGGGTCGGGGTGCACTTTGGGTCCCTGGTTCCCGTCCCCCGCCCTCCCTCCCCTGTGACCCACTGGGTTCTCTCACTTGGAAGAGTGGTTAACTTCGTGGTGTTGGTGGTGAAGTTTTTCCTCCTCCAGCATAAATTAAGCTGAGTCATGAAGCTGTGAGTTGTCTGTTTTCCTCTTTGGTTTCTTTAATCTCTGTGTTTCAGGCTGCACAGGAAACCCATCTGTCACAGTCCAGGGGTCAGGGGAGAGGCGCTCGTGCCGGGATGGGCCCGCTGAGCCGGACTCGGGCAGCGCAGTCTGTGCAGCCCCTCATTTCACAGATGAGCTGCGAGACTCCCGCCGCCTCCTCAGAGCAGGGCGGGGACCGGGGCCTTTTCTTTACACTGTGGGCGTGATGAGTTGTGGGTTGGGGGAGTAGGTTCGTCCTCTGCCGGTTTTCTGATGGAGCTCACAGGGGTGGCGTTTTGGTCTTTAATGCACAGACTCCAAAAGTATAGGTGGCTAAATAGGAGCCCTTGTTTTGTGTAAGTAGCCGCAACCAAAGTAGAATTGGGAATAAAGGTAGAAGGTCATTCTCGCTTCCGTCAGGTGACCCTAAGCAGCAAGGAAGACAGGTTAAAATTTAGCTTCCAAAAACATACAAAGAAAGCTTTGTCTAGAGGACTTCCCACCCCCAACACACTTATCCACGTGCATACACACAACTGCCTTTTAGGGAGAGCTTAAGTCTGCTGTTTAGTTTTGTACGAGCTGTCTGATGGGATTTGGAGGTGGCTTATTGTAATAGTAGTCATCCTCTTCCTCCTCCCTTTAGTGCTGGAGATTGAACCTGGGGCCTTTACAGCCAAGTGACACTCTGTCACTGAGCTGTCCCCACTCCTAATGTTCTGAAGGAGTGCAAAAGGCCATGAGCCGAGCACGGTGGCTTGTCCCTCTAGTTCTGTCTGCTCCAGAGGCTAAGACAAAAGGATCATTTGAGCCTAGGACTTGAGGCCAGTCTGGGCAACATAATGAGACCCTGTCACAAAAACATAAATAAAAAAGGTAGCATTAAAAGATGAACCTATGAATGTATGAATCATCGATTAATTTACATCTGAAGTGTAAATGCTGGTATCTTTTTTTTTTTTTTTCGTCTTTTTTGAGACAGGGTCTCACCATGAAGTTCAGGCTGGCCTTGAGCTCACTTTGTAGCCCAGGCTAGTCTCGAACTCCCAATGATCCTCCTGCCTCAGCCTCCCAACTGCTGGGATTGCAGGCATGCGCCACCATGCCCAGCCTGCCATTCATGTTTTGTAGCAAGCTTTCCTTTACACCCATGTGTGCCAGTCTCATTTCTCCTTCATCCCCTCGGCGCCTTTGCGTGCTAGATCTGCCTGCTTTCTGACCCCCGTGATGGCTCTGCCCCACCTACCGAGCAGGGGGGCCGCTTGGCCCCACAGGCTGGGCCGGACAAGCTGCATAGTCCGAGCCTGTAGCAGCCGTCACGCACACACAGCCTCCCAGGCCTCCTCAGCCAGGAGCACAGGCCCATTCATTTTTCATGAGAACTTTAACTGTGCTAAATTTCAGGCGTATGTAAAAACAGAAAAATGGTACCATACATCTCCTTACACCCTTCGCCTGATGTCAGTGGTTAGTCATGTTTCAGGTACCCCTCGGTCCATTCTCCATTGCTCACCCTTATGAATTATTCTGGAAGAAATCTCAGTATCAGACATCACATCATTTGGGTCATGTTTGCACACGTATCCCTGGGTGATAAGGCATTCTGAGGAAACACACAGCCAGAATGCCGGGATCACGTCTAAAAAGTAGTTACAGCTCTGTGACGTAATTGAATACGCAGTCAAGTGTTCAAATTTTCCTAGTTCTTAAACATTTATTCAACAGTTTGTTTGAATAGGATCTAGATCAGAGTCACAGGTTCTCTAGTTGGTTGATACGTCTCTCTTAATCCATCTGTTCTCATCCGTCTCTCTTTCCCTGAGAAGTTCATAGCATTAGCCCTTATTTCGCTGGTTTTCAACCAGAGGCCTTGCCATGCCAAGCAATACTGGCACCCTGATTTTTAAATCACTTTACTATTTGTAAAGTGCTTTGACAAACCTAATTTTATTTAGCAGACCCCAGTGTCTCTTTGAGGTAGAGGCATCAACCCATTTTCCAGGTGAGTAACCTCAAGGTCAGCAGTGGAATGAGCTTCTGAAATGCAAATCTGGATCTTTCCTGCAGCGTTCTCTGATCCACACCAGGCAGCACATTTCTTTCCTTCTTAGCTTAAACAACACTGTAGTAGAGATGCATTTTCTTTAAAAAAAAGTCACAGTGACATGGAAATGTCACTGCACACACGTCCACACCCAGACCAGCTGGAGATAACCGCTGCTAACCTGGCAGCCCGATTCCCGTGTGCAGACAGAGCTGTGATCCACTGTTTGCTTTGCTGTGTCCAGAAAAGCGGGATCGAACTACCCAGACTTTTCTGTATCTTGCTTGTTTTCATTAAAAATTTCCTCCCCAGCCATGCATGTCTGGATGTATAGATCTACTTGATAGTCCTCAGCCACTTTACTACATTCACGCCGAGGCTTTTCTTCAGCTTCCTTAACTGTTCTTCTGTAGAGGAGCATTTAAGTCGCTTACAGCTTTTAGTTGTTACAGATGTCATTACAGTGAAATACCCTTGTACACATTCGCTGGTGTGTCTGTCTTAAAATCCACGTTACTCTGGCGGGGTCCTAGGCCTGAGGCTGCTGTGCCACACCCCAGAAATGTACGCCCGTGTGTGCTGTGACCATGAGCGTGCGCACGCGCTTTTCCTCCTGTCCTTTTCCTCCTGTCCTTTTGCTCTTGTCCTTAGCAAAACTGGGTCTCTGTGTCTCGTTATGTTTCACCAGCCTGGCAAGTAAGCTATGGTTTTTGTTTCCGTTTTTATTTTCACTTGTGTAGTGAGGTTATGTATCATCTTTTCTCTCTTTCATACGTGTGTGTGTGTGTGTGTGTGTGTGTGTGTGTGTGTGTGTTAGAGCCTGAATGCAGGACCTTTGTACCGAGCGACATTTTCAGCCTTTTAAATTTTTTATTTTCAGACAGGGGCCTCCCTACAACACTAAGGTGTCAGGCCAAGCTCGAATTTGTGATCCTCCTGTCTCAGCCTCCCAGAACACTGGGGTTATAGGCGTGCACCCCCATGGCTGGCTGTACTACTGTCTTGTATTATCATTTGTTTCTTTTTATAATCTGCTTTTTCCGTCATTTGTCATTTTTCCTAATGAGTTAATTGGTCTGTCTTGTTTTGTGCGAGCTTTGGGTAAATTAGATACATTCATCCATTATTTGGTATATGTTAAAAATATTAGCTCCCATAAATATTAGGTCAAATCACATGAAGTTGCTAATACTCAATTATTTTTGACTCCCCAATGTAGAATTCAACCTAATAATTTCCCCCAGGCCATCATTTGCCTCTTAATTTTTTTTTCTGGTCTCCTTCTATAGACTTTCTAATTTTTACATCGCCAAATGTGTGTGCCCAGCAAGTTCAGTGAGTTCTTACTGTGAGCCAGCGGACAGAGACTAAAGACAGGTGTGAGTCCCATGTGTGCTCCTGACCAGCTGCATGTGAGGGCGGCTGCAGAGGGAAAGCTCCTGGAGATTTTTGGGTTCTGTGTTTTCTTCTAATACTCTTGTGGTCTTGCTTTTCCATTTAGCTTTGAAAATTCCATTAGTATAGCCAGTGTGGTGGTACACACCTGTCATCCCAGGCCTCGGGAGGCTGAGGCAGGATTGTCATGAGTTTGAAGCCAGCCTGGGCTACATGGTGAGACCCTGTCTCAAAAAACCAAAAAATAAAATAAAGTTCCATTAGTAATTTATTTTTCTGTATGGCAGAGGATGGGGTTTAAAGTTACCTCTGATTAAATAGCTAATTGTTTCAACACCATTTATCAAAGTGCACCCATCCTTTTTTCACTGATAGGAAGTCAGTGTTCATAACATGATATAAATTCCTTCATTTACATGGTTCTACCTCATTCTCTTCCAGTGGTCTCCATTCCTACCCAAGGACCACAGGCCACAGGACTTGGATTTTCTTTCTTTCTTTCTTTTTATTTATTTATTTATTCCGGCACAGGGGATCGAACTCACGACCTCACACTTGCCAGGCAGGCACTGTGCCGCTGAGCTAAGTCCCCAGCCCCCTTTTACTTGCTTTTTTTTTTTTTTTGTATTTTTGTTTTCTGGTACCGGGAGTTGAACTCACCACCTCGCGCTTGCCAGGCAGGTGCTGTACCACTGAGCTAAATCCCCAGCCCCTAGGGCTTGGATTTTCTTGAGCTTTGTGTGTGTGTGTATGTGCATGCACACATAAATCTAGGGCAAGTCACTTCCGCTTTTGAAAATTGGCTCTTCCTCCAGACAAACTGTATCGTTACTGTGTTTCATTGATTTTTATCATTTTTGCTGTGAGAAGAACCCTCAGGATGA